AGGAGAAAAGAAGTAGTATTTCTGTGAAGGGGTCACAAGTGACAAAGGTGAACTTATGTCCAGTCTTGACCAGGTCAGTTCTGATTTATACCTATTACCTTAGCATCATAATTAACATCCACCCTCCCTTTCGGTTTTTGAAAAGTCAGGTTTGAATAACTCATATGGTCAACCTACCAATGACCTTTCCATTATTAAATCTAATGGATATTTTTCAGTCTTCTCTTACTTGTTAGTGGCATTTGACAAAGTCTATCATTCCTTTCTCCTGAAAAGTCTCTTCACTTGGCTTCTAGGACACTACATCTCTTATTTTTCTCCTGTATTATGGGTGATTTATTTCTGTCTCCTCTGGTGAGACTCCCACCCCCTTCCTCTGCTTGATCTTGTAACACTGGAATACCTCATGGCTCAGTCCTTGGTTCTCTTCTCTATTTAATCTATATAAACTTCCTCAGTGATCTCATCTAATTTAATGGCTTATAAACACCTCTTATAGGCTGATCATTCCCAAACTGATGTATCCAGGCTGGATGTTACTACCAAACTTCAGATATATGTCTACTTATCATCTCTACTGGATATATCAAAGATAACATATAAAAAATTGAATTAGAATTGATGTTCTCCTTCCTCCTCGCACTCAAAAACAAAACAAAACAAAACAAAACAAAAACAAACAAAAAGGTGCCATTCCACCTTCAGGTTTCCCCCATCTCAGTGGATGGTATATTATCTATTTGGCTACTTAAGCCAAAAACTCTAAAGCAATACTTCCTTCTCTTTCTCATTCAATGATGATTTTTCTCAGAAGACATTTTTCTGACCCAGGATAAACAGTTTCAAAATGGATAAATTTTTGTGGATTATTGGACAGTTTGACTGGAGAGGAAAGAAGAGAAAGAAATGCTCTGCAGAGGGCAGGGAGGGGAAGTTCTTTCAAGGTCACTAATGACTAATGATTTTATGTCCACTTTTGTCCAGGACAGTTCTGATTTATGTCTCTTGTCTTGGCATAATATTTAATAGAATCCCTTTTCAGTTTTATAAATATCTAATAGACATGATAAAAAGTATATGGTCAACCCTCCAAATCCTGTTGGTTCTTCCTTCAAAATATATCCAGAATTCAAGTACTTCTTCCTGATGCAAGGCACCATCTCCTCTCACTTGCTGCATTTTGTCTCTCTGCTTTTGACCTTGCCTTCAGAGCGTGTCACTCTTATGTTCAAAACCTTGCAATGCCTCCTCATTTCATTAAATAAGTACCAAAGTCCTCGCATAGCCTACAAAGCTCTAGTTAATTTGTCTACCTCTTTCATATCCTTTCTCACCTCATATCTTACTCTTTCCCCCTCAGGTCTCTGCTCCAGGTAGGTAGCACATTGTAAATTTTAACAAAATTAGGATTCTGTTAGCAAGGAAAAAAGGGAAGAATGTATATCCAATAGGCAACAGAGGAGCAGATATGTTAGAAATGGAAAATAGAAAGGGAAGAGAACTTCACAGAGAATAGAACTTTGAGAAACAAGTGCATTTAGGGGCAGGTGAAAAAAAATGGATCATCATAGGACAGAAAGCAAAAATACTTAAATATGTAAAAGGAAAATAGGAGCATTGTTAAAAGAGTTATTCAAGTTTTATAATATTAAGTTTATATAATGTTATGACACTTTTCTAAATTATTTTTAAATATGAGGAAAATAATTACATCATGATTCCATAAGTCATGGCTGTCTGACAATTGATATTAACATTCCTTTTCAAATGGAGCATTAATCGGGGCGCCTGGGTGGCTCAGTCGGTTAAGCGTCTGACTTCAGCTCAGGTCATGATCTCGCGTTCTGTGAGTTCCAGCCCCACGTCAGGCTCTGTGCTGATAGCTCAAAGCCTGGAGCCTGCTTCAGATTCTGTGTCTCCCTCTCTCTCTGGCCCTCCCCTGTTCATGCTCTGTCTCTCTCTGTCTCAAAAATAAATAAACGTTAAAAAAATTCAAATGGAGCATTAATCAATACAAAGAACAACAAAAATATAGTGTAGGTTCCTGGGGCAGATGGCTGGGGCAAAAAAAGGAGGAAATAAATGGTTGTCTAATTCTCTACAAACACCAGATGCTGTAACCATTCTACAACTGGTGATACATTAGATTACTTCAAAGATGTCAAAAAGTGAAATCATTGCACAGCCAGCTAATGTGTCTCTTTAAATACATGTTTCACCTTCCTGAAGAAAAATATTTCCCTTTGTGAATGCAGTTCCACAGTCACAATAATAACAAGATTTTTTAGAACTTTTTTAAAAAAATTTTTTAATGTTTATTTTTGAGAGAGAGACAGACACAGAGCATGAGCAGGGGAGGGGCAGAGAGAGAGGGAGACACAGAAACTGAAGTAGGCTCCAGGCTCTGCACTGTCAGCGCAGAGCCCAACACAGGGGTGGAACCCACGAACGGGGAAATCATGACCTGAGCCAAAGTCAGATGCTTAACTGACTGAGCCACCTAGGCACCCCCAAAATGTTTTTTAAACAGCTGTTTTTCAAAATGTGATCTATACAATAAATAACCCCACCTGAACCAAGCCAGAAATTGGTTATATACTTGTGTCTCCCAGGGCTAATGATGAAATTTGAATTTCTTTTCACTTTTAGCTTGATATGTTCAGGTTGGCATGTAGATGAATCATTGTTGCTACCAAATATATTTTGATTGAGATCATTTTGATGGCTAGAATTCCAAAATCTCATGTAAACCTGAAAGAATTTTCAAGACTAAAAATGGAAAATTTACTTAAACTTTCATGTAAGTCTGTCTTGGGTTAATGTGAAGTTAAAAGAATAATAATGGAGAAGATAATGCAGTGTTTGTAGTATTTGAAACAACGTATTTTTTCTTTTAAAAACAGGTAAAATTCTTTGGTGCAACTGTTCTGACATCAGTATTTATATCAAATTAGCCATATCTACTCGATACCCTATTTTAGCATTTTTCTCATTGGAAGGGAATATGCTTTACCTTCTTTATAACTCCATTTATTTTATGGGAACTACAATTTCAATAAACAAAAAGTATAAATACAAAGTGGTGTTCCTTTTTCTTCCCTTACTGTAATAACTAGCTGTGGGAAATATTTTAATTACTTATCAGAAAACAATTTTAATTTCTCTTATCTTCAATATAGCTAATGTTAAAATGTTACCTTATACACTAAAATGAAAACTAGTTAAGTATCAAGATAAGTAAACAATAATTCCATTCCACTGGCCGTTCTCCATTTCCTCCAGATGCTTGAGTTCTAGGCTGTTCTTCTCTTTGCCCATCCTAAAGGGGAGCTAGCTTTCAATATACAGGAAGATCTTGACCCTGGAAAATGAATCTAAAAGTCTTTAGGGAACTCACAGGCAGTCTCATGCTCCACTTAATTACTAATTCATTCAGGACATTTACATTGAGCACTCACTACTAATTGAAGATTGGGACTACAAAGGGAGACTAGTAATAATCCCTAAGATTAAGGAGTTTATTGTGGTGGGGTGTGAGGGTTAGGGTGAGTAATAGGTAGTTTTAAAATAAGGTGATATAAGTCTAAACTCAGGGAATGACAAGGCGCTATTGGGACATACAGAGAAGACACCTAGCTCAGTCTCAACAACATTTGATAAAGCTTTTTAGGGGAGGTAATGGCTGGTTGAAACCAAAGGTCAGCAACGATTTAGCTAGGGAAAATTAGTTGGAGGAAGAATATCACAGGAAAAGTTATGTTCAAATGCTCAGAAAAGAAAGAACATACCATATCCTGGGTGCTGCCAGTGCGGTTCAATCTAATTAGAGCACAGTGTGAGTGAGATCATGTGAAAATAAGAAGCTACAGAAGTAAATAATGGGCTTAAAGTACTAGTTCCTCCTCTTAGAAATATTTTGTTTGGTTGTCTAAGCTAGTAATGGGAATTAAACTCACAATTGAACTACTATTTAATTTGTGGAATTAAGTATTTAATAATGATTAAATAATTATTAGAATATCAGCAAATATATATAATTACATGGTAGGGTTTTCTATTTATCCAGAATGGTTATTTACCGAGTTTAAAGAATTAAAGGGGGGGGGGGGGGTTTGCAATTACCAGTTTTAGAGTCAGCCACTTAGAGATATTGTACCTTCTTAATATTATAGTACAACACTAAGGAAACATGTTATATGAGACAGTAAAGGCAATAGTAAATAGCAAAATAATGAAAATAGTGAATACTATAATACAAATATAAAAATATTTTTAAAAAACTTAGTCATTTCTCAAAACGAATACAACAAAAAAGGTATTAGCAATAAAATTACCTTGGGGATATTAAATTCCTTCACACATGCTATTTACTGGACACTTGGGAGGAATGTTCATTGATCTTGACAAAATGGTGAGCAACTCTCTATACTACTGAAAATTTTAGCTGAGGTCAAAATTGCAAATGGAAATAACTTCTCAGAACAATTCAGTAGTATTGCTTTGCTTTAATATATCATGAAGAATGTGCTTTCAAAATATCAAATCTTGGTTTGCCAGGCAGAAGGTAGGGAAGGATTATATTACTTATGATATATGAGTTTAAAATTGACTCAATGTCAAATTCCTCGAAGAACCAATAGTGAAAACTTCAGGGCAGTTTATTTACTCTGAGTGCCCGGTCCTGTGGGAACTCTGGTCTGTGTTTAGACAATTTGCCAAGCTTCTCTTGGCGACTCATCTTTTTACTTTAATTTTGTTAGATTTTTTCTTTTTTAAATTTATTATTATTATTATTATTATTATTATTATTATTATTATTTTGGTCTTCTCTTTATCATATCTATGTGTCAAAATTCTATTCAGGTGTGCTGACAGTAAGACGAAACCCTGGAATCAAAGACACGTCTTTCTACCGCGGAAACGAGGCTCTAAGCGGATACGCGAGGACACTAAGTGTGAACTGCTGGGCACCCGTAGCTCAGAGTCTCAGGATCAGGCCCCGGCACCGGAAGTGGCCGCCCAGCTTGACTTCCGCTCCCAGGGTAAGAACCCTTGCGGCTCGCCCACCGGTTGCCAGAAAACCGCTAGGAGTCAGATCATGGAGGCAGCGCGCCCTCCGTCGACGGCGGGAAAGTTTGTGGTGGTTGGCGGTGGCATCGCGGGTGTCACCTGTGCTGAGCAGGTAGGCTGACGCGTCGACAGTTCCGCCTCTTCCCTGACCCCGCGGCGGTGGCATTCAAGGCACCCTCTCGCCCCCACCTTGTCCTTCCAGATCCCGCTTTAGCCGCTTCTTTCCCCCCGCCCCAGCACTCTTTGTTTTCAAATGTTAGAGACTGCGTGGCGGCCCCTCTACGAAGTTCTTGGTACCTCGCAAGCTTCGCCTTAGGCCTAGGGAAGAGGAGTGGGGAGCAAGTTGTTGGCAGGTGGGATCCCAAAGCTGACTGAACCAGACTGTGGTGCTAGTTATGCCAGAGCAGACAAGAGGGCTTAAACTGGTAAATAGTTGGTCAGAAAATTCAGCCTCCATTGCTCGTTAGCTGATTGAATTCAGGTTTCAGGTAGATGCCAGGTCCTTAGTTCCTCGTAAATAATTGAAAAACCCTTACGTAGTTTCCTATACTTTGAACTCCCAAGATAGAAGAGATTTCATCTGTAGTAATGTTTTGTAAAACAACCAACAAGGGATTAAAACCAGCTGGGGAATGCTTTTCTAATTATAGTGAATAATCAGGCTACACACACACACACACACACTCCAAAAAGAATTGTTTTGTTGATATAAAGTAAATGTAAGCAATCATTGAAGTCACAGAAGTAGTGCAGGAAATCCAAGAATTGTTTTCAAACTTCTAATCTTTAGGTGTGTATTTTCCATGTTTTCACCAAGTGAAACACCTGTTATCCAGGTACGGTACTAAGGGCTGAGTAATCACAGAGCATGGTACCTCCTTTCTAGGGACTCACAATCTAGTGGAAGAGACATGTGAATGAACCATTTCACCAGTGTGTTTGCCAACCTAAGGGTGTCTGGCGAGTTGACAGGGCATGAATTAGGGGGAGGTGTCCTTTTGTCTCAGTATAGAAAATGAGTAAAAGTTGACCAGGTGGACAAGAAAAACTAGATGGTCCAAAGGGAGGCAAGGATATATAATCTCAGGTAGGAAAGCACTACTGAGAGCAGCAAAGCTTAAAGAACATGGTGCTTGGGGAGGTGACCAGAGATGAAGCTGGGAAGGCTGGGAGAGACCACATCATGAAGTATCTTATTAAGTCTTGCTAATAACTAACAAGTCGGGCACCTGGGTGGCTCATTTAGTTGAATGTCCAACTCTTGATTTCAGCTGAGGTCATGATTTTACAGTTGTGGGATCGAGCCCCGTGGCAGGCTACATACTGAGCGAGGGGACTGCTTGGGATTCTCTCTCTCCCTCTGCCCCTCTCTCCTGCTTGTGCTCTCTTTCTAAAATAAAATTTAAAAAAAAAGTTAGCCAGAACTTGCAAGAAGTGAGATGATTTTGAGCAGTGGAGTAATGTGATCAAATGAAATATTTTGAGAGTTGATTAGCTCCAGTATGTTTGGGGCAGGGGCAGCTGGTTAAAATGAGACTGGAAGGCCAACTGGAAGGTGAATTTAGTAGTATAAAGAAATTTTGAAGCCAGGTATAGCAATGAAAACAAAGTGGGGAAATAACAATATATAAAGAGAAGAAAGATGGAAAGAATGGTAATATCATCAGATATTATAGAAAGTTCAAATAAGTTGATATTTTAAAAAATTTAGTGAATTTTAAGGGTCTGGAGGTGAATTCAAGATGCTCCTTTTTTCTTTACTGAAGTATTGACATACAGTATTCATCAGGTGTACATCATAGTGATTGGCTATTTCTTTACATTATGAAATGATCATCTCAATAGGCATAGTTACCCCTTGTCACTACACAAAGTTATTACAGTGTTGACTATATTCCCTATGCTGTACATTACATCCCTATGACTTATTTATTTTATAACTGGAAATTTGTTCTTCTTAATCTCTTTAACCTATTTTTCCCTCTTCCCCCCAGCCCCAATCCCTTTCCACTCCATTAATAGTTTGTTTCCTGTATCTATGAGTCTGTTTTGTTTGCATTGTTTTTTCGTTTTCCACAAATAAGTGAAATCATATAATATTTGTCTTTCTTTGACTTACTTCACTTAACATAATACCCGCTGGGTCCATTCATGTTGTCAAAAATGGCAAAATTTCATGTATAGCTGAATAGCATTTCATTGAATATATTTATACCACCTCTTCTTTATCCATTCATCAGTAGACACTTAGGTTGCTTCCATATTTTAGCTATTTTAAATAATGCTGTAGTGAACATAGGAATGCATGTATCTCTTTGAGCTGTGTTTTTGTTCTCTTTCCATACATACCTAGAAGTAGAATTGCTGGATCATATGGTAGTTCTATTGTTAATTTTTTGAGGAACCTCCATACTGTTTTCCATGGTGGCTGCACCAATTTACATTCTGAAAAACAGTGTACAATGGTTCCCTTTTCCCCACATCCTCACCAACACTTGTTATTTCTTGTCTTTTTCATAATAGCCAATCTGACAGGGGTGAGGTGATATTTCATTGTAGTTTTGATTTGCATGAGTGATACTGAACATGTTTTGTTGTATCTAATGGCCATCTATCTTCTTTGGAAAAATGTCTATCCAAGTTTTGCCCATTTACACATTTTTTTAATAGTAAGTTGTGTAAGTTTTTAATATATTTTGGATATTAACCCCTATTGGATGTATGATTTGCAAGTATCCTCTCCCATTCAGTAGGTTGTCTTTCTGTCTTGTTGATGGTTTCCTTCTCTTTCCAAAAGCTTTTTAGTTTGATGTAATTTCTTTTGTTTGTTTTAGCTTTGTTTAACCTTGCCTGAGGAAAATGGCTCAAAAAATATTGCTAAGATTGGTGTTCAAGAGCTTACTGCTTATGTTTTCTTCTAGGAGTTTTATGGTTTCGAGTCTTATATTCAAGTCTTTAATCCATTTTGACTTTATTTTTGTATGAAACAGTGGTCATGTTTCATTCTTTGGCATGTAAGCTGTCCCATTTTCCCAACATCATTTATGAAGAAACTTCCCCCACTCCCGCTGTATATTCTTGCCCCCTTTGTCATAGATTAATTGACCATCTATGTGTGGATTTATATCTGGGCTCTGTGTTCCATACCATTAATCTTTGTGTCTGTTTTTGTGCCAGTACCATACTGTTTTGATTACTACAGCCTTGTAGTGTGGTTTGAAATCAGGAAGCATAATACTTCCAGCCTTGTTCTTCTTTCTCCTTTGGCTGTTTGGGGTCTTTTGCAGTTTCATCCAAATTCTAGGATTCTTTGTTCCAGTTCTGTGAAAAATGCCATTGCTATTTTGGTGGGCATTGCATTGAATCTGTAGATTGCTTTGGGTAGTATGGATATTTTAACAAAATATTAAGTCTTCCAATCCATGAGCGTGATCTTTCCATTTATTTACGTCTTACTCAATTTCTTTCATCGGTGGCTTATAGTTTTCAGAGTACGGGTCTTTCACTTCTTTGGTTTAATTTATTCCTAGGTATTTTATTCTTTTTGATGTGGTTATAAATGAGATTGTTTTCTTAATTTCTCTCTCAGATAGATTGTTACTAGTATACAGAAACTTGACATACGTTTTCTGTATGTCAATTTTGTATCCTGTAGTTTTACTGGATTCATTTTTTCATTCTAATATTATTTTTGGTTATTTATTTATTTATTTTTGTTTGTTTTTTTGATTGAACATGCTCAGTTTTAACAGTATAGTAGGGAAAGAAATAGAAATTGGTGGAGAAATAGAATTGGTTGAGGAACCAGAGTATGATTTAAGAAAATTCTTTCAAGAAGTTTAAAGTGAAAGAGAGGTTGTAGCCAGAGGAGAATGATGGAAAAAAATAGCAAGTTAAGCCTCTAAATACTGTTGAAGCTACTACTAAAATGGTTTTGCTTTTCCAGAGTATACACTGGTTGGGCATTTGGAAGAGGCAGAATAGGAGTACCAAAACACTTGGGAAAAGTCAGGCTAAGATTCTGAATATTTATGAGTAAGGATTTACTGTAATTTCATGCCACTGAAGGGAAATGAAAATACTATTTTAAAAGAAATAAAAGTTGGTTTAACTGTTAATTAGGAAGATATTTTTTTTTTTCTCATTCTCTGAAGGACAACTTTACATTGGTATGCAAGATAGTAAGGGATAATATCATTTTTCTTATTCAGGAGGTTTTTGTTAGTGTTTATTATAAACGTATTATACATTTTATCAGTATCAGAGTTGAACGTTAGTCACTACTACCCCATAAATAGGAACAAGACACAGAATAATGGAGACCTTTGGATGAGGAAAAGTGACTTTTTAGTTTTCTAGGTTAATAATAACATTATTAAAATTGCATTATCCCTATCTCACCCCCATGTCACATATGTTAATACCTAAAGTTACTTATGAAATTTTTTCTCCCAATTTTTTTTTCTTTAAATAAGTTGGCTATTCACTTTCCATCAGAAGATATTCTCCTGGTAACAGCTTCTCCTGTTATTAAAGCAGTTACAAATTTCAAGCAGGTAAGAATCCTTTATATAACTTTCTTAGTCATATATATTTTTGTAATTTCAGTAACTTGCCCAGCAGTTAGTGTAATTATAGTTTTTAAATGTTTAAAATGATAAATGTTCTTTTGATGGTCATTTTAAAACCAAAGCGCAAAGTTTAGAATTATATTAAATACCAGGGCACCTGGGTGGCTCAGTTGGTTAAGGGTCTGACTCTGAATTTTGACTCAGGTCATGATCTCACAGTTGGTGAGTTCGAGCCCCAAATTGGGTTTGCACTGGCAGGGTGGAGCCTGCTTATGTTTCTTTCTCTCCCTCTCTCTCTGCCCCTCTCCTGCTCTTGCTCTCCAAATAAATAAATAAATAAATAAATAAATAAATAAATGTATTATATTAAATACCAAAAGCACCCAACTGATGTTGAATTCCTAGTCTTGTTTTTCCTATCTTTTCCTCCCACTCAGAGTTACTTTTCAGAAATTTTTAAATAAAGTTCTTTTGAGCAAAAATGCTTTGCAAATGTAAATATGAATGCCAATACATATATGTAATTATTATAAGTAGTTTGTGTATAAATTGTGTGTTTGCATATCAGAAGAGTACTTCTCAGCTAAGTTTACACTTGTAGGTAATTAATGTTTCAGGTGTGTAATAAGCATCTCAGAACACTTTGTAGTTCCATGGATTTATATTACACACATTATAGCATTACATTAGGAGTCTAAGATCATTTGGGTCTTAGTGTTATAGAAAAGTGATCTATAAACATTTTTGATCTGATACCTCACCTGTTAAAAAGTTTTGGCTGATCTTGTAATATTCGTATATTTATATATTTATAAATTATGTATATACTATAGTGCTCTAATTATGAATGTTATAATGGCTATGCAAAAAAATTAAGTAAATCATACTTCACTGAAGTATTTCTTCTCATACTTCAGTGAAGAATACTACTATAGTCTTTAATATAAGTTTTCCTTTAGATCCTGATAATAAAATAAAACTTTCTCATGTTGTAAACCCCTAAGACCAAGGGTAATTTAGTGTGTTATGTTTTTCCTTTATAACCTTCTTAGAGATATGTAAGATATCTTACTACTGAGGTATGGCCAAAGGACTTAAGGGATTGGGAGAACTAGAGAACAAATTGTGGCTATTAATCTCTAATGGGAAAAAAAAATCAATTATAGGCTAGGAGCACATACATAAGAGAAAGATGTTTGGCTGTGTCTTATAAGTGTTTTTCTGGAAGACTTAATTCAGTGTGACTATTCCAGAGTTATAAGACTTGACTTAAATTTTTGCTGATTTTGCAAATTTTGTATAATAGAAGAAAAACAGTTTTGGATTCTAGGCCTACCTGTTTTTTATTGGCTGTGTAGCCTTGGCAAATCTCTGTATCTAAGTTGTTTCACTTCTAATATTAGGATAGTATCTTCCTTGTTTACTTGAAGGAGGTTGGGAGTTTAAGATATACTAATATATGTGAAAATGAATTGGAATAACATTATGCAAATGTCAGTTATTAATATTCAGAAGTAGGAAATTGCATCCTTTTTATCATTTATTGAACATCTATATTATGTATGAGCCAGTGTGCTAAGCACCCAGAAGACAGATTGAAAGTATAGAACATACACCAAAAAGTCACTAATGGTCATCTCTGGAGTTGGGGAATGGCAGTCGTGGTGGGGTAGTGTGAGATTTAGGGAAGAGTAAAAGGGACACTTTATTTTATATTAGGTATTGTTTGTTTAATGTTAAAGAAAATGTTTTCATGGCATGTGTAATTTCTAAAGGAGAAAAAAGATTAATAACAACATGTTATTTATGGAGTACTTGCTATGTACCAAACACTCTTCTAAAGGTTTTAAATACATTAACTTATTTAATCCTTAAAGTAATCCTATGAAGTGGGTTCTTATATTATCCCCACTTACAGATGAGGTAAATGAGTCAGTGAGGCTGGGTAAATCTCCAAGGTGTGTATAGATAGGTTTTAGGGGCGCCTGGGTGGCGCAGTCGGTTAAGCGTCGACTTCAGCCAGGTCACGATCTCGCGGTCTGTGAGTTCGAGCCCCGCGTCAGGCTCTGGGCTGATGGCTTGGAGCCTGGAGCCTGTTTCCGATTCTGTGTCTCCCTCTCTCTCTGCCCCTCCCCCGTTCATGCTCTGTCTCTCTCTGTCCCAAAAATAAATAAACGTTAAATTCAGGTTGGCTCTGTAACCCTCATGGTTAATGAGTAGCACTTTCTCAGAATGGTAACAAATCTGCAAGACAAAGTTATCATTATAATGTAGTTATCCTTATAGTGGCAAAAAAAAAAATTGCAGTTGTATTGCAATATATACGTATTTATTTTTATAAATATATTGTGAATGAGTGTCAGAGCCTGCCTTTGAGATCAAGAAAGGCTTTACATAGGAGAGTGGATTGAAACTGAGACTGAAAGAATAAGTAGGTCTTGCCATGTTTGCAAGAGGTTGAATGGAGGCAGGCATGTGCCAAGATGATGAAAGTATATGACTATATAATATGTTGTAATAGGTATCAGTTCAGTTCTGCTGGAATGTAAATTCAGTGCTGAACCAATAGTCAGAGGGCAGACCATGGTGGGCTTGTATGCTATGATGTGGAATTGTATTTTATCCAAAATTTAGATGATGCCAAACTTTTGGAGCATTTTCAGCAGGTGAGAACACTGAATTGGAGATATAACAGGTTGGTATTCATCATTGTCTCAGTACCAGCTCAGCCATAGGCATTGGCTGCAATTTCCCAGGGAGAAGAGCCCAATAATAGTGTTCTATGGAACACCGACATTTAAAGGAAGATCAGAGAGAAAGGAAGCCCTGAAAATGGGCACCCTATTTATTAGTCTTAAGTCAGAGAGGAAAACTATGAGAGAAGAAGAGTTTGTTTCCCTGAAGCCAAAGATGGCAAAAGTTTAATTAAGTGCAGTGGTCAGTGGTGTCAGATCCAAGGATAGCAGGTAAGATAATGACTCAAAAGTGCCTATATCTAGTAACTTATTGGTGACTTTGAGACAGTTTACACCATTTTCAGAAATTAGTGGGGGGTAACTCTAAAATGACAGTAACGATAAACTTTTCTCTTTTGAAATTTAGCTGCAAAAGGAGAAAAGATAGGGTGGCAGCAAATAGAGAACGTGAAGACTAGCATTAAGTTGAGTTTTATTCTTTTTTTTTTTTTTTTTTTTTTACTGTTGATTTATTCTTAGAGCGAGCAAGCACATGAGCAGGGGAGGGGCAGAGAGAGGGAGACACAGAATCTGAAGCAGGCTCCAGGCTCTGACCTGTCAGCACAGAGCTCGACGTGGGGCTCGAACTCATGAACCACAAGATCATGACCTGCACCAAAGTCACATGCTTAACCAACTGAGCCACCCAGGTGCCCCGAGTTTTATTCTTTTAAGGTGGAAGACACTTTAGCGTGTTTACCTATTGAGATTTAGAAACCAGTAGGAAAGGCTGAAGATGAAGGAAAGCAAGGAGTACATAATAAGGAAGGAGTCCTGAGGAGGTGAGAGATGATGGCATATAGAGCATAGATTACTGGATTCACCTTGAAAAGGTAGAAATGGGTCATGGAAGGTGGACTGTAGTACGGAAATGTATAGATGGTGGGAAAGAAGTCATAAGAGTTCTTAGTAGTCTCTTTGAGCCAAGAAGTAAAGTGATTTGCTGGGAGTGCTGAGGATGGAATGTGTTTGGGAAGCATTAGAATGGTGAACATTTAGAAAAATCACCAAGGGTTGGAAGATGTTACTTCGATGTTACTCTTGTCACTACATTGACACATAAACACTGATGGTTTAAAAAAGCCTTGGTGGCTAAACTGAACTAGTGGTCTTGTATTCTTCACTTCCAGGCACTCAGTGAAATAAATTAAAGCCAGTAAACAATGGTAATTTTATTAAATCCTGACTCTTCAGTGCACGTCTTTTTAATGTTCTGTGTGATGAGATGGGATGTATGCATAAAGCACTTGTTCCACATATGGGGCTAGGAGGGAAAAGCAGTTGTGCAGTTGCTGAGTTGCAAGAGGAATTAATTACTCTTGTGGAATACCAATTTTACTTGAAAGAACAACTGACAAACTAATTTCATATTTGGAAAATGAGTGAAAACAAGTGACAGTATTTGTTGCCAGGATAACAAAATTATTGTTGGTGACAATAATGAATGTGGTTTTTGATATTGTATTGAGTTGAAATTAACATGTGGAAGATCTCTTTAACTTTGTGAACCACTATTGTCCAGATGACAAATGTGATGTTACACGATCCAAAGTGCAGGATAGACCAATAGATTTCACAGTAGTAGGGTATGAAAAATTCTTTGATAACGGTTTCAAATTCTACACTGCATCTAATCTTTAAGAAACCACACTTGTTGAGTTTTAGTATAACATCAAAGAAGAATATACAATTCTCTAAAAAGGCTGCACATCTCTGTCAGCCTGAACTGTCTTCATAAATTTTAACCAAATTAACATACTGCAATAGTTTGAATGCAGATGCAGAGTATGGAAGCAGTTTGAATGCAAAAGCAGATCTATTAAGACCGGATATTAAAGACATTTGTAAAAATGCAAAACTGCCATTCTTCTCACTTAATTTGTTTTGGAAAAAAAAGTTACTCTTATTAAAAGGATATTATATCTGTTTAACATGTATTGGATCTATTCTTAAGTGAATTAAGAAATGTTTTAGGGGCGCCTGGGTGGCGCAGTCGGTTAAGCGTCCGACTTCAGCCAGGTCACCATCTCGCGGTCCGTGAGTTCGAGCCCCGCGTCAGGCTCTGGGCTGATGGCTCGCAGCCTGGAGCCTGTTTCCGATTCTGTGTCTCCCTCTCTCTCTGCCCCTCCCCCGTTCATGCTCTGTCTCTCTCTGTCCCAAAAATAAATAAACGTTAAAAAAAAAAAAAAGTTTTAAAATTCTTAAAAGGAAATATTTTTATGAAAATTTACATTTTCACCTTTTTGATTTAATACAGGTTTCTAAAGTATTGGAGGAATTTGATGTTGAAGAGCAACCGAATACCATGTTAGAAAATCGCTTTCCCAACATTAAGGTTATAGAATCCGGAGTAAAGCAACTGAAGAGTAAAGAACATGTAAGAAGTTTTGTTTTTTTTTTTTTTTAATTTTGTTAAATGTTTGTTTATTTTTGAGAGAGAGAGGCAGAGCACAGCAGGGGAGGGGCGGAGAGAGAGGGGGACATAGAATCCAAAGCAGGCTCCAGGCTCTGAGCTGTCAGTGCAGAGCCCGACATGGGGCTCGAATCCACGAACTACAAGATCATGACCCGAGCTGAAGTTGGACACCCAACTGACTGAGTCACCCAGGCACCCCTAGAAGATGTTTTTCTTAATGATGATCCATTGTTAAATATTGATGAGCTTTCCCTGCTTTCTTTTGAACCCATCTGTACCCCCACCACTACTAAGTTTCCTAGCATATAAAGTTTAGTAACATTGATTTCTTTTTATTAGGAAAATTTATACTTTTTCTGAATTTATTGGGATTATATAATTAGTTTGATTTCACATTTTAGGTTTTACATTTCAAATTAGCATTAACATTTACATAGTGTCTGTTGTGTTCTGGGCACTGCAATAAGTGCTGGGATACAACAGGAACATTACAGTGAACTTGGCCTGGGAGGTCTCATTGTCATGGGGAATATAGACATGCACATGTATTAATTATATATACACGTGAAAAGCACAGTCACTGAAGTATTATCAAAGCTCTGATACTAGGGATTTTGGAGGACCTCACAGAAGGGGAAAATGTTTGAACTGGGTTTAAAAGGTGAATTAAGAGTTCTTAATTAAGGACATTGTAGGAAAACGAGGTTGCTTGTTCAGAAACCCAAAGAAAAGCAGCATGTGGAAGAATAACATCGTCAGAGGTACTGTGGTGGAGATAAAGAGAGGAGATTGGCAGACTAGGGCAAACAAATAGGACTGTGAAGAGCTGTTTACATTATGCCAAGATGATTTATTTTACAGTCAGTGGAGAAATAAAGTGGAGGCAGGGATGGTAATATATTCTTTTAGGAAGACAGATCTGATACCAATGTTGAGGATGAAATGGGGTGGAGTGAGTGATAGTGTCCAGCAACCAAACCAGAAGGTGGTTGCAATAGTCTAAACTGATAGAAGGCCTGAATGAAGACAAGAACTGTGTATTTGGAAAGAATAGCGCAGATATGAGTGAGATTTCTCCTGTAAATTTAGCAGGACTCAGTAACCCATTGGATGTGGGAATGAATAAGGCAGTCGAAGGAAACGTGTGGTCAGATGATTAACAATATCCTCAGGTGAGCTTTAGGCAAGATGAGAAGTAGGGTTTCTAGTTGTTTCTCTACAGCAGCTCTAATTTTTCACCCTTATGGAGAAAACACATACATAATACATTTGAAACACAAATAATTTGACAGTAAAAAAATAAGAAAAAGGACTAAATTTTATGAGAAAAAAATAAAAAATCTGAATCCCAAAACTGGAATAAATTTCTAACATTTACAGTGGTACATATCCTATATAACATCCATGTCCGTTAATTTGTAAATTGAGGTGGGCTCAAATGTAGACTAATAAATTGTGAGGGAATTTATATTAGGGCATTTGAATAAATCCGAATGCCACCCATTACCATTTGAAGTGTCCTGTATGAGCTCATGTCTGTATTCTCTTATTTGTCCTTTATATTCTTTGATGAATTAGAAATTGTGTGTTTTATCTTCATGTCTACTTCCAAAAATTTAGCAGTAGCCAATGAAAGGAGTTTTTGTGTTTGTTTTTACAACATAAAATGTAAATTATTTTTTAAATTTGGTCAGTGTCTGTTAATTACTGTTTGTCAGATAAAATTCCCACCACATTACATTATCTTCAGAAAGAACTGCATAGAATTTCTGTATGCGTTATACTGTGTTGAATTATCAGTTTTATGTATTTGTTATGCAGCTGAAGAGTTTCAGTGGGTATCAAGTGCTGTCTTATGATTTGCTATGTTTTATAAATCAAACACATGTCACAGTGTTAATCTCTAAACCATTCCAACAAAGTCTTGTGTCATAGTCACATGTGTGTGTATATATACATACACATACATATATGCTTATTAAAAGCTCCTACTTATGTGCAGATTTCCATTTGATTTTAAAGAATAAAAACAATGGATCACAAATACATATTTTTAGACTCAATAATATTATTAAAAATTAATATAAATGACTTTAAAAGCTAGTACATGTTAGGATTTAAGGTTAATATGTTTTTCACTTAATATGAAAATATCCCCAAAGAACATTTGTTTGTGGTTAGGTGATTGTTATTTGTACTTAAGAAGAATGCATGCACGTGCAAACTGGGGAGGTAGAGTGGGGGAGAGAGAGATTGAGACATTGAGATTCTTAGAATCTATGCTCAGCACAGAACCTGACACGGGGCTTGATCCCATGACACCGGAATCATGACCCAGAGCCAAAATCAAGACTTAACAGTACTTGTTAAGTACTCCAAAATCAAGTACTTAACAGACTGAGCCACCCAAGCTTCCCAAACACTTTTAATATTTTTAGATTAAGAAGACATAATGTAACCTTTTTTACCGCACTGTACTCCTCTGTACCCATAACAAATATTAAGGTATGATGCCATTAGAATTATTAGATCTTCCTACAGTAACTTCCATTGAGATCAGAAATATTAAGGCCTACCTCAGGTATAATATGATCACAATGCTTGATTTAAAAATTTCTGAATGTTTAGTTTTTAACCTGAGGTCAACATACCTCCCTGAATATAATAAGATTCCCTAAGTTTTAGGCAAAATCTGGTGTGAATGTATGTTTTTTTTTCCAGGGAAGAAAGACTGTTTTGCCCTAGATTCTCAAAATGGTTCATGGCCCTAAATGATGGTGAATCACTGGGTTGGAGAATGCATTCTCATGTTTACTCTGATTTGCAATTGCTGTGACAACGTATTGAGTGCCACCAAGAGGCAACCTTAATGTATTTTTTTGCTTTTGTCTTACTGAATTTTGTATTTCAAATGAAACTGTACCCATGTATAAATGTTTCTCCTCTCCCCTTCCTTGCCCTGTTTTTACAGTGCATTTTAACAGGAGATGGCAGTCAGCATGTATATAAGAAACTCTGTCTGTGTGCTGGAGCTAAGCCAAAGTTGATATGTGAAGGAAATCCTTATGTATTAGGAATCCGTGATACAGACAGTGCTCAGGTAACATTCTGAGATGGGGCCACGGTAAAGGAACATGAATATTTCATAGACTTCCTTTATTTGAATCAAAGTATTCCACTTACAGTGTTAATTCTTAAATTACAGAAGAGGTTTGTTTTGTGATCCACAAACCAGAAAATAGTTATAATGTTTTATTATTGCCAATTTCAGTTTGGTTGTAGCCGATAATTTTTCCTGTTTTTAGTCCCATGCTGATGTTCTGTGTTCTTTCCATTGTGCACTATCCCAGATATAATGACTAAGCTGAAGGTTATAACTTAACTTATACACACATTCATTACTGTATTTTGATTGGGAATAGTGATTTGTAGCCTAAATAATGTAGCAATCTTTTTCCACAAAGGTAAGGCATATCCCAAACTTACTGTACTCCTTAGCAAAGAAATGAATATTCAGATCTTTGTGGTCCAGAATCATGACAGAATCCCAGAACTAAAAAATTCATTTGGTTTATTGTTCTGCTCAAGAACCATAGTAAACTATCCCAATAAGGTGGAAACTGTGTGGAACCTTCTACAACTTCTTCTGATAATTTATTGCAGGGCTTCAGGGTTTATTGACCCTTCTTGCCAAGAAGCTCTTCCTGGTTTCCAGTCATAATACTTTGTCTTACCTGTAGCTTATTATTGTAGTTCTGTCCCTAAGGTGATAATTTTATGTACACTAATAACATTTTATATTCTTGAAATTGATGTTTTCTTTCAATCTTTCTTAATTTAAAACTTTTTTAAAGCTTATTATTTTGAGAGAGAGAGAGAGAGAGAGAGAGAGTGTGTGTGTGAGCAGATGAGTGGCAGGGAGAGAAGGAAAGAAAATCCCAAGTAGGCTCTGTGCTGTCAGTACAGAGCCCAACATGGGTCTCGATCCTACAAACCATGAGCATAGCTGTGTTCCAGCGAGGCTGCCTACATACATGAATTCACTGACTGCTTATGATAATACTGTGTGACAGTATTACTCCCAATTTACAAATAGCAAACTCTAATAGATTAATTATTCACCTATACTTAAATAGCTGTTATCAGAAGTACAATATAAACTTACGCCATTCATCTCCACATCCAGTGCTTTTAACAGATCTTTCTTATTTACTGTCCTCAGAGAAAGGCTGACTGAAATTAACTTAATGTTTTTTTTTTTTTTCTGGTAGAATTTTAAGCCAGTCAGTTTCAGTGATTATTTATTGAGTATTACAATAAGTTTTTGGGTGAATTTAATAGAAATGGTAACTTGACATGGTAGGAAGAGGAAATTTAGCTATTGAGATGTCATCCTGATCCAGTGGGACTATTCTGTACTTATAAAAGTGCCATAAAAATGACCATGGCTTCCCTAAGCTCATTGTGATCATTTTTTTTAGGGGGCAGAAGAGAGGGGTAGAGCGATCAATTAATTGTCTTATGATAAGAAAGTAGCATTTTTTTTTTTAATTTAGACATTATCGTGCCTGCTCTTAACAGCTTTATTTACATTATCCTAATGCTTACAGAGACGTAATGAAGTACAGTCACTTCTTGTTTCCAACGTTTTTTTTTTTTTTTTATTTTTGGGACAGAGAGAGACAGAGCATGAACGGGGAGGGGCAGAAAGAGAGGGAGACACAGAATCGGAAACAGGCTCCAGGCTCTGAGCCATCAGCCCAGAGCCTGACGCAGGGCTCGAACTCAGGGACCGCGAGATGGTGACCTGGCTGAAGTCGGACGCTTAACCGACTGCGCCACCCAGGCGCCCCAGTCACTTCTTGTTTCCATTTATATTGAAGAAGCTGGGGCACAGAAGGGTTAAGCAACTTGGCCAAGTTACTAACTGGGGGAAGTTAGTAACTCCAGGGACTCTTAACCACCAAGCTGTTGTGCTTCTCATTCCTGTAAGTTTTGGTGTTGAGTGAGTCCAGGGAAGTGCCAACTGACAGACTAGAAGAAAAGGAATAACCCTGTATGTGTACAGATCAGTGTCATGTTAGTAAGTTGGTTTGATCAAGTAGTTAGGAATGTGATGAACTAGAGCTAGTGCCTCTTGCTGCAATTCTGAAGTACTCTAGATGTAATGACGTAAAAAGTCAAATCATAAGAGGCATTGCTATAAAGGCAGTTTGTGTGACAGAGGAAAACATTTGTAATATTGGGAGGGTGTGTCCTGGCAGAGTGTGAAAGTGAGATTTTTGTTCCTTTGTAAATCAGGTAAAATTCGTACAATTTTAAGAACATTATCAGTGAAGCCTTTCTTCAAGTATTGCCCACTATTACAAAACACTATCTCATTTTCTTTTTAATATAGGAATTTCAGAAACAGCTTACTAAAGCCAAAAGAATAATGATCATAGGGAATGGTGGCATTGCACTTGAACTAGTGTAAGTATATATTTTTAAATATCATTTAAACACTACTCTATGACTCATAATTGTTGGCAGACTAGAAAACATCCTGTTCTGAAATTCAAAGATAAATAGAACTGTTTTTCATAGATTTTCAAGGAGAAAAAAATCCATTTTATATTTTTAGCTTCATGGAATTCATAGTTGTAGAAATGTCATTGTAAAACATGAGTTTAGGGAAGGTTTTAGGTCTCAAGGGGTCACAGGTGACTGGACAGATGTGATCCATACATGTGTTTGGTAGGCATGTACTATATTGAAAAACAATTTAAATGTGCACACCTTTAGAGATTTCTAGTCACAGTATCTACCTGTTTTATTGTTTACACCCATCCTGCTTCATTCATTTATAATGCTACCTGTTGGGCCCATGAAACCCACAGTGTGTTTGACTCCCTATTTCAAGATGTGGTACTCCCAGCTCTTGTTTTTTTGGAAGTTGAAAAATGTGAACCCATCAATTAATGTGAAATACTATCTTAAAATGATATTTCAAGTTTAAAGAACACTGAGGAATAAATATTCTGCTATGGTCTACAGAGCATTCATTTTCTTTATGATTTTATCTTCCATTGGATGGCTGAGATGGAATAGTCTGGACATTTTTAGGGCAGAAAGTTGAGTCCAACTACAAAGAGGACAAATTTGAATCAAAGTAATGAATTTGCCAAAGCTTTGTCCATTTCTATTTGCAGACTAGGTTTTTGCTCTTCTTTTTGACAGGATGGTGATTCCCAGTGGAAGCTTCTAAGAGTTCCTAGATTGCCTGAGTACTAGAGATGGCAGTCATTCTTGTAATTATGAAATTTATGGCACTGTATGGAGAACAGAGAAAAAACTGGAGATTCAAAATCAAACAGGTCTAAGGAGGCACATGACAAATTTTCTCCATCAGCTATCACCAGAAGTGTAACTGAATACTATTATTATTTACACTGGAAAATTTTCTTGCATTCAGAAATGCTCAGTCTTAAAACATGTAATCCTATTCCTCATTTTCTTGAGGTTGGAGATGTAAGACTATATAATCGGACAAAGCTTCTAATTTTATATTGAATAAACTCTGATAGTTTAAGAAAGGCTGCATATAATGCGATTGTCTCAGCTTAGGTCCACTGAATGATCAGGTGTTTATCATCTCATGGTGAAAAATGCCATATACAAACCCTTTTTGCTCTTTAATAGCCCTTGTGTTCCGTTGAGGCTAATGCTGATTTTCTTCAGTGTACTTTTATTTCAATTACTACCTCTGTTTTCTTCTTTACTAGTGTAGGTTAATCTTTTCTTTTCAGACATTTTTTTAATGATTTCAAAAAACCATAATACTTCACTGTTTATTTTTTAAAAGTGGTTTTAAAAATGAAAGTATTTCTACTATATATGTGATACTACCTCCATGGTAATGTATCTCGCTGAGGGCATGGTTCATAGTCTAAGGGCATCTTGTGAGGTAGGACGTGTATAGATGTTACTCGCGGTTACTTGTAATTGTGGGTGGCCTACTAGTCAAGCATTAGTATTTTAAACTATATTGATACTGTGTTATACTACTATATTACTTTAAAATTTTAAAAAAATGGTAGAGGAGTTTCTTAATAAAAACTAAGGAAAAAGTGTTTCATAATAACTATGTGCCTATATGTAAATTAAAATATGAAATTTATTACTCAATGTGTATTCTACTTTCTGCTCATCAGCAATCCTGTGTGATCTGAGCAACATAGAATATTCACCAAATAATCTGAAATTTAGTAACTAAATATTTTTTTCTGCGATAAGGGAGCAATTGTCACAAAGTATGAATGTCAGGTGACCTGAAATCAGATGTACTAAACCTTTTTTTCTATCATTTATTTATTGATTAGTTTGAATAATTTATTTATTGAGAAGTCAATGTGTTACATTGTAGCAGTCTGTGAAATAAACATGGCAGTACTTTGTACCACAAGTAAATGTTAAAAGTTCTTAACACATAATACTCTTATTACCTCTATAGGTTCTGATAAAGTCCTAGTATAATTAGGATGACCATATATCCTGTTCATCGTGGATGGTCTCAGTTCATCAATTGTACCAAAACAAGTAATAATAGCAGAAAAATATAATGGACTTCAGGGACTTAGTGAAATGAATACTAAGCAAACCACATTCTCTGTGACTAAACGTAGAGATAAAACAGCAGATCCCCAGGAGCTCCGGCTGTCTCATTAGTGGTGATGGTCTGTACACACCATGGCCATTCTGCTCTTTCTTGATTTTTCTGTGAACCGGATCTTTCTTCGGCTGAATGGCTTAGAAATTATTGAGGTGAAGGGAAGGGATTGCAGGGTAATGGTTCCTTTATAACAAAGTTAAAATTGTAGTTAATAACTCTGAATCTCTCCTTTGAGTACACAAAATATTTGTTACCAAAGAGTATGCTATTGTCAAAACTGTAACCATATACCATGGATCCATTCATCCATTATTGATTACACTATAACCACATCAACAAAGCACTGCTCACTCCTGGGAACCGTGGGGAACATTGGTATAGTAACTGTTGGAGAAATTGAACCCTTAGAAGTAATGCTTATTGTAATGAAATTTTATTTGATACTCAGTTACACATGCTTGTCATTTTTATGTTCTTTCAAATAAACTGGATAAATTTATTGTTTATTCTACTTTAGCTCTTATTATCCTGAAAGATTATTACATTCTTCCTTATTTCTGTTTGCCTTAAAACACTTTCTTTTACCTTTGGAGAAAATTGTTATTTACAAAAAAAAAAAAGAAAAAAGATTCCTACTCAGACTTCTTAAATTGCCCTGAGTAACTTTATTCCTTTTAGGTATGAAATTGAAGGCTGTGAAGTCATTTGGGCCATTAAAGACAAAGCCATTGGGAATACTTTCTTCGATGCAGGTGCAGCTGAATTCTTGACTTCAAAGCTCATTGCTGAAAAACCAGAGGCTAAAATTGCACATAAAAGAACCAGATATACAACTGAAGGTAAGTATAGCGTCTATTCATTAATTCACAGATGAAACTGTTTCTTAGCTGTATAGAAAAAGGCTATAAGAACATGGAGTAAAAATACTACAGTTGAGAGACAGATACATAGATAATATTTATTTCCTGTCTCCATACACAAGATTTAGACTTTCAAGGATTTTTTTTTTCAAAGTTTATTTATTTTGAGAGGGAGAGAGCACGGATGGGGCAGGGCAGAGAGAAATAGGGAAGGAGAGAGAGAGAAAGGGAATCCCAAACAGGCTCTGGCTGTGAGTGCAGAGCCCAGTGCAGGACTCAAGCCCACAAACCCTGAGATTATGACCTGAGACAGAACCAAAAGTTGGATGCCTAACCAACTGAGCCATCTAGGAGCTCCTATCCAGGACTTTTTTTTTTTAATGAAAACTGTGTGTAATTAAGACTGGAAATTTAAAGTGAATTAAATAAACCAGCCCATCTGCATCTTTGCAAACAGGTGGTACAACTGGACAGCACCTTAGGTAATTTTACAAAAAAAAAAAAACAAAACGCAATGAGTTAAAAAGGAAATACAAACCTAGATTTTTATTTAAGAGGCTTTTTAAAATTTTTAACTTTTGGCTTATAAAATTCAAAAAATTCTGTAAGTGTTGAGGGTGCTAAAAGTTGACAAAATGTTTAAAAACTGTTGGCTAATTGTTTAATTGAATTATAAGTCACATATATTAGTTTCAGATGTACAATAGTGATTCAGTATTTTTATACATTATGACGTGATCACCTCTGTAGGTTTAGTTACCGTTTGTCACTGTACCAAGTTATTACAGTATTGACTGTATTTCCTATGGTGTACTTTATATCCGCATGACTTATAACTGGAAGTTCATACTTCTTAATCCTGTTCACCTGTTTATCCTGTGCACCAGTTCCCTCCCCTGTGGCAACCACCAGTTTATTCTCTATATCTGAGTCTGCTTCTGCTGTGTTTTGAGGTTTTTTTTTAATTATTTTTCTAGTTTAACTTGCCTGCATTTATTGTAAAATTTTTATTGAAGTATAATTAACATACAGTGTTCTATTATTTTCAGGTATACAGTAAAATGATTCAACAATTCTATACATTACTCTGCTCATCATGATAAGTACACTCTTAATCCCCCTTGTTCCACACACATCCCTTCACCCACTTCCCCTCTGGCAACCCCCCATTCTCAGTTTTTTAGTGGGTTTTTTTGAGTCTCCTTTTTCTTTGTTTCCTAAATTCTACGTATGAGTGAAATCATACGGTACTTGTCCTTCTCTGAGTTATTTCACTTAGCAGAATCTCCTCTAGGTCCATCCATGTTGCAGATGGTAAGATCTCATTCTTTTTCCTGGTGGAGTAATATTCCATTGTGTGTATGTGTGTGTACACATACACATGTACACCACATCTTCTTTATCCATAAGTCTGTCAGTGGACACTTGAGTTGATTCCTTATCTTGGTTGTAAATTATGCAAGGGGAACATACATCTTTTTGAATTAGTGTTTTCATTTCCTTTGTGTAAATTCCCAGTACTGGAGTTACCAGATCATGTGGTAATTCTGATAATTTTTTGAGGAACCTCCATACTGTTTTTCATAGTGGCTGTACCAATTTGGATTCCCACCAACCGTGCACGAGGTGTCTTGTTTCTCTACATCCTTGCCAACACTTGTAATTTCTTGCTTTTTGATTCTAGCCATTCTGGCAGGTGTAAGGTGATCTATCTCATTGTAGTTTTGATTTGTACTTCTCTGACTAGTGATTTTGAACACTTTTTTATGTCCTTGTTAGCCATCTGTATGTCTTTGGAAAAATGTCTGTTCAGGTCCTCAGCCTGCTTTTTATTTTGGTTGTATTTGTGTTACCCAGTTGTAGCAGTTCTTTATACATTTTGGATATCAACCTTTTATCAGATCTCACCCTTCATATTGACCGTGTATTTAGTATGGTTTATATTCAACACTTGATTGAAAAATTACCTGTTCTGTAGCTCTATATCACAAAATATTAAAACAATCAATACAGATAAGTTAGTTTATGCTATATATGAGAATCATGACATTGCCTAAAAGCTTGAGAACACAAGTATACTTCTCTGCCTGGAAGTTTTTATATCATTTGAATTTTGAATTGAGTTTTATCTTTTCAGGAAGAAAAAAGGAAGCACAAACCAAAGGTAGTGCTGGCAATATGGGCAGTGCCTTGGGACCTGATTGGCATGAAGGCTTGAATCTTAAAGGAACAAAAGAGGTATGTGTTCATACACTAATTAAACATGTGTAGATGGAATTTTAAATTCTTGAACCATTCGTTGAAGACTGGTTACAAATATAGTCCAACAACTGCTAGGTCAGTTAAAATCCATAGTGCTAGGATAAAACCAATAGCAGCTGGCCCAGTTCCTTACCTTAAGAGATAAGTGGATATTTAATTCATCAAAAACTGACTGTTCAGAGTGGCCAAAATGAACAAATCAGGAGACTATAGATGCTGGAGAGGATGTGGAGAAACGGGAACCCTCTTGCACTGTTGGTGGGAATGCAAACTGGTGTAGCCGCTCTGGAAAATAGTGTGGAGGTTCCTCAAAAAATTAAAAATACACCTACCCTATGACCCAGCAGTAGCACTGCTAGGAATTTACCCAAGGGATACAGGAGTACTGATGCATAGGGGCACTTGTACCCCAATGTTTATAGCAGCACTCTCAACAGTGGCCGAATTATGGAAAGAGCCTAAATGTCCATCAACTGATGAATGGATAAAGAAATTGTGGTTTATATACACAATGGAGTACTACGTGGCAATAAGAAAGAATGAAATATGGCCCTTTGTAGCAACGTGGATGGAACTGGAGTGTTACGCTAAGTGAAGTAAGCCATACAGGGAAAGACAGATACCATGTTTTCACTCTTATGTGGATCCTGAGAAACTTAACAGAAACCCATGGGGGAGGGGAAGAAAAAAAAAAAAAAGAGGTTAGAGTGGGAGAGAGCCAAAGCATAAGAGACTGTTAAAAACTGAAAACAAACTGAGGGTTGATGGGGGGTGGGAGTGAGGGGAGGGTGAGTGATGGGTACTGAAGAGGGCCTCTTTTGGGATGAGCACTGGGTATTGTATGGAAACCAATGTGACAATAAATTTCACATATTAAAAACAAACAAACAGTTGCCCTTCTTTTTAATTCTCCAGGCACAGAGATTTCTACAGTGAATATACCTGTCCTATTTTAAATTAATCTTTTCTTAAAGGTCACCTCCTATGCATTATAATATTTTACAGGTTATTTGATAAATTCTAAATACACATTTAATACCTTAATTGGATAAGATGATTTGCTTTTACTCATTTTATTAGGTATTTGTTTTTAAACAATTGCTAAAAGGCTATGATATGTAAATACTGTAAGAAGCATACACGGAGTTCTTACTACTTTGTATGATTTCAGCCTCAGGTAGTTTGGAGAGGAGCTGGCTTCATGTTATACCTCATTTTTGTGATAGAAATTATGCAAAATCAGTTCTTCTGCACCTTCAGATTCTAAGTTTAGTAGTATTTTTAAACTGAGCAGCAGTTTGGTTCAGTGAACATTATCTCCTACATACTTGGTACTTTACTGAGGTTCTGGGATATAATAGTAAATCAACATAGATCTGCCCTCAAGAGGGTTTTATAGTTCTCTAACAGTTGAAATTTTTAGAAAATATATTTGTAATTATCAGTGAGGCTTATCTTAAAAAGCATCCCTTGGTGTTACCTATCAGTGCAACTACTTGTTCTCTTAAGTCTAAATGGATTTCTTCTTACTGCCTTCACAAACAGAAATCGAGATTATATGGGGGCATCCAGGTGTTTTCATTTATATTTTCCATATGTTTCTACAAGTGTATTGTAATTTTTTTTTTTATCAGTAACCCAAATCAGTCTTTTGCGAAGTATTATTTATGGTAACCATTGTTTATTTTAGTTTTCTCGTAAGATTCACATTGAAACTATGTGTGAAGTAAAGAAAATCTACCTTCAGGAAGAATTTAGAATTTCGAGGAAAAAGTCCTTGCCTTTTCCGAGAGACCATCATAATCAGCCAGTCACAACTGATAAAGGTAAGTAATTAAGAAAAAATGTAATAACCAGTAATTGAAAAGGAGGAAACTTAAACATGAGGGGCATCTGGATGGCTCAATCCATTAAGTGTGTGACTTCAGCTCAGGTCATGATCTCACAGTTTGTGAGTTCGAGCCCCACTTCAGGCTCTGTGCTGACATCTCAGAGCCTGGAGCCCACTTTGGATTCAGTGTCTCCCTCTCTCTCTGCCCCTCCCCCACTCATGCTGTGTCTCTTCTTCAAAAATAAACTTAAAAAAAAAACATGAAATCATTACTTAATGTAAGTCATTTCCTTTTCACTACTTAATCTTCAAGTTTCCTAATAATTGATATAGTGAGCATCACATTTTACATGGCATTCATGGTGTTTTGCCCACCACAACTCTGTGAGTCAAATGGAATACCTTGCAGATCAAAAAGAAACTAAAAAAACCTTTATGCTTTCAGAGATGAAGTGACTTCCCCCAAATCAGTTTGAAAATCTGTAATTTGGGACTAATTCCTGTTCCACATCTCCTGTGAGACCTACCACTATTTGAAGAAATACACTCAAACTAGTGTGTAATATTCCATTGTTTTGAATTCTTTGAATTTTTCCACGGGAAGAGTTAATGTTACAGTTTGACTAAGAACAGTAAGGGAAAACATTGAAAAATGAGTAATGTAGTTGGGCTAAACTCTCTGGAGTATATAATGTATTAATATTTTTAGATAAATAATTTATAAAGTGATTATCAATTTAAATTTACTTTGTTAGAAAAGGTCTAGGTCTAAATTTGAAGGGAAAATGTTTAGAATGCTGTAATGTTATAAGTATACCCAAAACAAGGAGATAATGTTGATTGTATTATAATTGTTTTAGTAAATGTGCCTTATAAAAGTTATTAAGCAGTGTTGTTTTATTTTTTTTTTTATTTAAAAAAAATTTTTTTTTTTCTTTCAACGTTTTTATTTTTTTATTTTTGGGACAGAGAGAGACAGAGCATGAACGGGGGAGGGGCAGAGAGAGAGGGAGACACAGAATCGGAAACAGGCTCCAGGCTCTGAGCCATCAACCCAGAGCCCGACGCGGGGCTCGAACTCACGGACCGCGAGATCGTGACCTGGCTGAAATCGGACGCTTAACCGACTACGCCACCCAGGCGCCCCAAGCAGTGTTGTTTTAAAGTACTCTCCTGCCGTTTTCTTTCACCCTTTATTCTAGGTATTATAGTCACATAATGCTATGGATAACTTGTGGTGATTATATTGGAGAATAAAGGTTTTGTTTATTTTGTTTTGTTTTAGAGGTATGGCCTGTATATGTGGAATTGACCAGTGAAAAGATATACGGCTGTGATTTCATTGTCAGTGCTACAGGAGTTACACCAAATATAGAACCTTTTCTCTGTGGCAACAATGTAAGGTGAAGTTTTTTTTGTTTTTTTTTTTTTGTCCTGCTGTGAATATTTTTATATTTTTTTTAATGTTTGTTTATTTTTGAGCGAGACAGAGAAAGAGTATGAGCAGAGGGAGGGGCAGAGAGAAAGGGAGACAGAAACCAGGGGAGGCTCCAGGCTCTGAACAAGCTGTCAGCACACAGCCTGACACGGGGCTCAAACTCACAAACTGTGAGATCATGACCTGAGCTAAAGTCGGATGCTTAACCGACTGAGCCACCCAGGTGCCTCATGCTGTGAATATTTTTAAAGTACTGTATGAAATTTAACTTTCAAGCATAAATAACTGTTCCTTGCTTTAGTGTAAAACTGTAACTTATGGAAGGTGAAAACAATTTAGATCATATTCATGTTTGGATTTGCAGTATTTCTTATTGCGTAAAGTCCTTAAGCTGCTAACATCCCAGCATAAATGTCATCATTGATGGGACATAATGCATAGTTCATTTTTCTAAAGGTTGGTAAGAGACTGACACCTATGGATTCTTACAAGTGATTCTTTTGGAGAAATGCCAAAATGCTAAATGCCTTTTAGCATTTTAAAGCTCACAAAACTGGAATATTGTAATTATGAGTGGGGTAGTCACGGTTACTGAGTGTTCCTGATGTTGAAAGTCTAAAAATTTTTGAGTTGGTCTGTCTTAGTAGCATTTTGATCCCCTAGAAATTGAGCTGAGTTATCTAAACTTACAGCTATTATTTACTTTCTCATTAAAGATCAGCATACCAAGGTGTACAAATGTGACTTGTTCTTTTACTTTAGAATGACAAAGCCATCTTTCACTTTTCTTCCCATGTGTTCTCATAAGGAACATTGTTTAGTTTGATCTAGGCGAAGATGGTGGCCTGAAAGTGGATGATCACATGCACACGTCTCTCTCTGATATCTATGCTGCAGGTGACATCTGCACTGCGTCATGGCAGCCCAGCCCAGTGTGGCAGCAGGTAAGCCAGCATCCAGGATCACATCTTCGTATCAGAGATTCCATCCGACGGTAAAGGAGTTGCTACCAGCAAATCTAAATACCTGGTTTTCCAACTTTTTTTACTTTAAGAAGCTGTCATAGAGTTTTTTGTGACAATTAAAGAATTTTCCCTTTTGGTAAGTTATTATATAGTGATGGAACACTAGTTTATCAGCCCTGTCCAGTGGAACTTTATGCGATGACAGAAATGTTCTGTACCTTTGCAGTGTCCAGTCAGGTAGTCACTACGTATCTCTATTGAGCACTTGAGTTTAAATAGCTACATGTATCTAGTGTCTGCCAGACTGGACAGCACAGCTTTAGATTAATAATTACTGAGGTATAAACCATGTAGATAAATGATGACCCTATTCTGTCCCTGTGAGAACTGTGACTGAAAAAATTTCCTATAGTAAACAGCCTTCCTCAGCTGAACACCTCCATTGAACTGGGCATAGACTTCCTCCTAATGGTGGAGGAGAAATCCTTGAGGAAGATACTCAGACCGTGGTCATAGGTGAGGTGGTCTCAGGGGGAGGAGAGACACAGTAGATGTTACAGATAAAAGACCCAGGCAACACTCCGTGTGAGACCAGCTCCACAGGTAGGGATATTACTCCTTCAGATCAACCATGGAGTGTGAAGTAGCAGAAGAGCTAGATGTATTTTAAGAGGCAGCTTCATTACTTTGTGTGTTTTTACCTACAGCAGAGCTGACAATCATATAAAAGTGCTTTTAGCCTAGGGGCGCCTGGGTGGTATAGTCAGTTAAGCGTCAGACTCAGCTCAGGTCATGATCTCACGGTTCGTGAGTTTTTAGCCCTGCATCAGGCTCTGTGCTGACAGCTGGGAGCCTGGAGCCTGCTTTGGATTTTGTGTCTCCCTCTCTGTCTGCACACCCTCCACTCATGCTTTGTCTCTGTCCTCAAAAAATAAATGTTAAAAAAATTTTTTTTTAATTTTTTTTTTTTTTAAAGAGTGCTAGCTTGTTTTCAGTTTTCTCTGTAATCATTCTCTTTCACTTCTGTGACAGATCTGTCATAAACTCTGAGTTTGTGGGATTTTTTTTAACGCTTTTAAACCGTTTAGGATAAATTACATCCTTAATGGGTGTCATAAACTCTGGTATAATCCGTGCCCAAAAATGACAAGTGTCTCTTGAGTGAATCTAATAGACCCTGTCTCAGTAAATAATAAGTACACTAATTAATTTGTTTTACACAGTCCGAGACACAGACTGAAGGGACCTTGAAGCTGGTATACATTGTTTATGTTTATAGAGGAGACTGAATTAAAAAAAAAAATCTATCAGAAATGATTGTGGTATTAGTTTTGCACACAAAAGGACATTACTAATTGCTTAGTGTAGGCTAACTTATTTAAATCTCTTAATAGCCATTGAATAGGTGGTATACATTTTTGTTTCAGGTGAAGAAACTGAGGCTCAGTTAAATATGTAGAAGAGTTGGTATTTAAATCTCTTGACTTCCAAGGCCAGTGTTCTATGCAGGATCACTGATAACCTAAGGGAAGAATTTAAAATGAATTCCCAGCATTGGTTGCTGAAATCTGGTATCATTTCTTGAGGCTGTTAGGACAGCAACTAATATATCGATCTGCCTGACCACTGAGGTTTTATTGCATGAGAAGCCTTAACTATATAGCACCAAAATCTAAGGATTAGGAAAAGGAATGAATTTTTCAATGATCATTTCTCATCTCTATTTATGCTGATGATAAACTTACTCTGTGAGAGGAGACCAGTTAATTAGTATTATTCTTCCCTGGTGTACCCTGAAATGTTTTAGTTGTTATAGTTTATTGAAACATACAGAGTTGGTATCATCCTTTAATTTTAGAATTCTCAAATAGCAGTATCAGTTTTGGTTAGTGTGGAATGGTGATTGCTTCTATGGCAAAGACAATCCAACTGGTCATCTGGCTAGTTAGATCTAACCAGTCTCAAGGACTCTCGATATTGAAGCCCTTTAAGCAATTTTGTAAGGTTAAGGTGCTAGCATTTTTTAAGTATGGACAATGAACATTATATTTCAGATGAGGCTGTGGACCCAGGCTAGACAGATGGGGTGGTACGCAGCCAAGTGCATGGCCGCAGCTACTTTAGGACAATCTACTGACATGGACTTCAGCTTTGAACTTTTTGCTCACGTAACAAAATTCTTTAACTATAAGGTAAGATAAACAAAGTAGTGCCTTTTTCTGCTTGTTAGCCTTTAATTATGTAATTTTATCATTTAAGTAAATATATGGTTTTAGTCATTTTACAAAAAATGACATCTCATTTCTTGCAAATCAGTACCTGGTATTACTGCTGGTCTTAATTCCTAATCACCACCTACCTTCCTACGATACTATTTTATAGTTAAAGGTGGGGGTGGGGGGCATCTCTTCTAGACTTACTCCCTGTTGGTGCATTTCTGCATTTCATTTGAGATCCATCCTTGCCTTGTAAGGGGAACTAATAGCTGTCATACTCAAGAATGAACCAGGTACTCTGCCATACTTATTTTACTCCGCGGCAAGTTTTTTCTTGATAATTTACTGATAAAAGGAGATTAAATCATGACTCTAAGCTAATGTAGTCCAGATCCTGCATATTTGCTAATTCACTAGATATTTTTAATGTTCATATATAGATTGTGTGTTAGTGTCATCTGCATAATAAATGCAGTGCTATTCTAGCATAACACAGTGTAACTACATACCGTGTTTCCTTTTTGTACTTTATCCCTGCGTTTAGGTTGTATTGCTGGGAAAATACAATGCACAGGGCTTAGGTTCAGATCATGAATTAATGCTGAGATGTACCAAAGGACAAGAATACGTCAAAGTCGTCATGCAGAATGGGCGCATGATGGGAGCTGTCTTAATTGGTGAAACTGACTTAGAAGAAACATTTGAAAACTTAATTTTAAATCAAATGGATCTTTCATCATATGGAGAAGATCTGCTAGATCCCAATATTGATTTAGAAGATTATTTTGATTAATAAAAGCATTTCAAGAGCTACATAATGTTCCAAATAATACAAAGTCACAATAAGGTAAAATTTAATAGAAGTGATAATGATTTCAGTGGCAAAGTTTTAAAATATATTTTTTCTAACTTAAAACCTAGCACTTAATGTAAATTTAAGTTATTCATTTCTAATTTAGCTTTGGGGCAGATTCAGCTAGGTTGTGATCTACTTAGCCAACAACTTGGCCTGGTACACCAGAATCATTCTGATTGAAATGTTAGAGAGGGCTGTGGTTTCAAGAGGCTTATAGTTTGGTTTTACTTCTAGAAATGTAGCAATAGCTTACTTACTAATATCATTTGTATTGATACTTTATTCCTTTTGCATTTGGATTCCACAGCTGTTAAGAGCTGAAATCACCCCCTTTGTAATAAGCCTATATAAAATATTCCACGTGATAACACTGCTATCAACAGTTAGTTATGTAAAAATAATACGAGTTTATGTGAACTTTAGTTTACATTTTTCTCATTTTATACTGTCAATTTTTATAAATCATGATCTCAAGCATTCAAGCCTTCAATATTAATGAAATTGTCTTAAACTACAAAATAATGGTGTATATGTACATAAAATGTTTTCTTGGAAAATTCGGAAACACTTCTTTTCTTAGATTGCTGAAGCATGTTTGCAGACTTTTGGAAGTTACCTGAATTGTTTTCTTTCCTCTTTATCAGCTCCTTTAGCATGATACGTTTGAAGTGATTCAGTCTACAAACAAAAACAAACACTTTGGTAAAAACTCAGCTGTTGCATTTTCTCTTCAGATTAATAGTCCCCCTGGGTCCTTCTATATCGGTTAGCTCTTAAGTGTCAGTGGCCTAGTTTTTTTTGTCTTCAAATATCTACTCAAATATGAGCCCTATCTTGAAGGGATATGTTGTCTGAGAAACCCTAAATCTATGGACCCAGTGGTACACAGCATGGCTTCACAGGCTTGAGAGTATTGGTTCCACCTTTGCTGCGCAGGCAGATTTCTCAACCAGTGTTGATCACAGCCGGTATTGTGAACAAGTCCTCTGCCTACTTCAGGATCTTGATTAGATCTCTGCAGTATGCTGTTAGATGTTTCATCTTTCACATGCTGTAATGAAATAGGCAACTGGGATTTGGGAATTACAAGGACAGGCTATTCTAGTTATTAAACTGGCTTAAAATGAGTCCTCAACATGAGCCACCCTAAACACTGATTTGTTAATTTGTTCTGAACTAAAATTAGGATATTCCTCAAGTCTGTCACTAAACTGTTATAGTCTCTGTAAGACATTGTTGAATTTACAGAGATGTAAAGAAAAGAACCTGGTTACCAGAAGGCCTTTGGATATGCTCTAGGAACCAGAGTGTCTGCCAGACATGATTGAGAGATACTTAGAATCAGCCTATTGTTCATATTTACCTGATTTGTGCTCATTACACAATATTCTGGAAACTGTGGCTTCCTAGGTACACTGTTTAGAGACAAGAATGTCCTCATCATCAGATATTCCTAATTATTGATTCTAGTACCCTGATTTTATATCAGACTCTTGTTAACTGGTGAGTATAGCACAGCATAAGAAACTCAGAAGTTTCTCTGGCTGCAAATTTAAGACCATAGTTACCTTCACCCACCAGGTGTCAGAACTCTGTGAGGGGGAACTGGTTAGTCCAGCTCTTCAGATACAATAAACATGCAGGAAGAAAAAAAGTTCAACTACAGCACCCAAACACTGCTATGTATATTAGTGTCTTATGAGTGATTAGCCATTACCTGATTCAAAAATAATTCACTCTTTTGCATGGAATTTCTCTTTCCAATCAGCCACTATAAACTCTTAGAGATTAGCCTTTTCTTAAATAGCATTTCTATTCAGAGGTATTTAAACTTTTCCCTTCATTTCTTAAAAATTTAACATGCCCTTAGTACAGCAATATAGATCCATACACATACCACTTATCCTTTTATCCTTTTCTTATTTTACTGTTTTAAAACTGTGTTACTTTTGAATCTAGAAAATGCTGTTCACAGCTTGCTTAATCTTTTAAATCCATTTTGGGATCTAGTATTGCCCCCATGTAGTCCTAGCTATATATATTAGCCTATAAAGATTTAAAAACAATGAACTAGGGAGTGTTCCAGTCCAAGATGGCAACATAGGAAGATCCTGAACTGGGCGCACCAAATCTACACCTGTTTATAGGCAATTCCTCTTGAAGAACTGAGGACTGACTGAACAGCTTCTGTACAATAAAAGATACACCACACGGAGAACAGCAAGAGAGACAGACATGGTAATCCACCGTACCCACCCCTGATGCTGCAAACTGTAGTGTGGAGGATAGTAATGAGGTACCAGGAGCAGATTCATCTACCCTGGGCCACAGAAAATAAAAGCCCTAGCTTAAAAGAGCAACTAGAATATAAAGTAGCCCTTGAACCCTGCTAAAAGGGAGGGGAGCTGCTGCAACTCTCTCTGGGTTGGAAGGTCTAATATGTGCCACAGCTTATGCACCCTCCCACAACCTTGACAGCATAGATGGGAGCAGGGTCCAGGTGTCCTAACCAGCCTGCCACCTCAGTAAGCCCTGACACCAGCCCCAGCTGTCCCACCAAGGCAGCCCCATGGTGGTGCACACCAGGAAGCCCTGGTCGGCGCTCACTATAGCTCCACCTATCTCACCACACTGAGGCAGGCACAAAGCACACTGGAACACTTCAGACCTGCACCACTGTGGTTTCAGACAGCTTTTCAGCACACCCCCAGCTGATGCCTTTTTTCAGCTCCAGCTGCCCTGCCAGGACACCCACACTTGAGCTTCCTTGCAGGGCACCCTCCATACAGAGAACCCTAGAGTGACCCCAGCCTATGCCTATTTCAGCTATAACTGTCCAAGTTGTCCCCTTTACAAAGCACCCAGTGACGTGCCCAGCTAGCAACCCACCTCAGCTCCAACTGCCCCCATCAAAGTACCTTCTGCACATCCCAGAACACCCCAGCTTATACCCACTTAGATTTCAGCCATCCTGTCAGGGTGCCCTCTGCACGGAGAACCCCAGGACTACCCATGGCTTGCGCCCACTTCAGCATTTGCTTTCCTGCCAGGGCACCCCATGCCGAGCCTCAGGACCCACCCCCAGCCCACACCCACTTAATCTACCACTCTTCTACCAGGGCAGCCCCAGCAGGGGGTACACTGCAACCCCCATCCCGTGCCAGACAGCAAAAGTCACCAGATATATACAGTCTACACAGAGGACAACCACACATAAAGACCATTCCTTCAAGTTTAGGAGGAGTAGCTCTTCTGCCTAATTCATAGAAACAAACACAAAGTTAAGCAAAATGAGACAGAGGAATGTGCTCTAAATGAAAGGACAAGACAAAACCTCAGAAAAATTAATGAAATCAAGATAAGCAATATGCTTGAAGAATTTAAAGTAATTGATCATAAAGATGTTCACTGGACTACAGATAAGAGTGGGAGAACTCCATGAGAACTTTAACAAAGAACTGGAAAATAAAAACCAGAGTTGAAGAATACAACTGAAATGAAAACTACATTAGAGGGAATCAAAAGTAGATTAACGATGCAGAAGAATAATCTGGAAGATGGGGTAATGGAAAGCAGCCAAACTGAACAGCAAAGATAAAGATTTATTTTTTTTTCTTAAGTAAAATCTATGCCCAGGGTGAGGCTTGAACTCACAACTCTTTGATGGAGTCGCATGTTCTACCTACTGAACTAGTCAGCTGTCCCCCTCCTGCCACCCGCCCCAAATAAAGAATTTTTAAAAATGAGGATAGGTTGGGGTGCCTGAGTGGCACAGTCGGTTAAGCGTCCGACTTCAGCCAGGTCACGATCTCGCGGTCCGTGAGTTCGAGCCCCGCGCCGGGCTCTGGGCTAATGGCTCAGAGCCTGGAGCCTGTTTCCGATTCTGTGTCTCCCTCTCTCTCTGCCCCTCGCCTGTTCATGCTCTGTCTCTGTCCCAAAAATAAATAAACGTTGAAAAAAAAATTAAAAAAAAAAAATGAGGATAGGTTAAGGGATCGGTTGACAACATCTAGTGAACATTCATATTATAAGGACTCCAGAAGGAGAGAAAGGGGCAGAAATTTATTTGAAGAAATAATAGCTGGAAACTTCCCAACCTAGGGAAAGAACTAGACATCCAGATTCAGGAAGCATTTTAGAGCCCCCTCCTAAGATGAACTCAAGGTCCACACCACAACACATAATTAAAATGTCAAAGGCTAAAGAGAGAATTGTAATAGTAAGAAAGAAGGAAACCCCTTAAAAGCTCTCAGCTGATTTTTCAGCAGAAACTTTGCAGGTCAGAAGAGTGGCATTATACATTCAAAGTGCTGAACAGAAAAAAACAAAAACAAATAAAAAACCCTACAATCAAGAATACCTGACAAGATTATCATTCGGAATTCAAGGAGAGAGAGTTCCCATACAAAAGGTAAAGGAATTCATCACCACTAAACTGGCCTTCCAAGAATGCAAAAGGGACTTCTTTAAATGGAAAAGAAAAAAACATATTAGACATAAGGAAACTATATATAAAAAGATGTAAAACTGGCAATATAAACATAAACCATGGAGAGGGGAGTGAAAAGGAAGTTCATTTCGAATGTGTTATAAATGCCCATGAATTCAGTATAGACTGCTTTATATTTAGGATGCTCTTTATGAACCTCATGCTAACCATAAACCTAAAACCAAATTAGGTTAAAAGAAAAAAAAAAAAGGAAAAAGTACAGTATATGGGATATAGTCAGTGGTATTTTAACAGTGTTGCATGGGGACAGATGGTAGCTACATTTGTGATGGGCACAGCATAACAGAGTTGCTGAATCATTATGTTGTACTTGTAATATTGTGTCAACTACACTCAAAGTGAAAAAAAAGGGGTGCCTGAGTGGCTCAGTAGGTTAAATTAAGTGTCTTGATTTTGGCTCAGGTCCTCATCTCACAGTTCATGAGTTTGAGCCCTGCTTTGGGCTCCTCTCTCCCCCTCCCTCACTCTCTGTCCCTCCCCTACTCATTCTCTCTCTCTCTATCTCTCTCTCTCTGTCAAAATAAATATTAAAAAAAAAAAAAAAAGAAAGAAATGAAATGAGGGGTTGTTGGGCAGCTCAGTTGGTTAAGGGTCCAACTTCAGCTCAGATCATGATTTCATGGTTCGTGAGTTCGAGTCCTGTGTCCGGCTCTGTGCTGACAGCTCAGAGCCTGGACCCTGTTTCAGATTCTCTGTCTACCTCTCTCTCTGCACCTCCCCCCTCACACTCTGTCTCAAAAATAAACATTAAAAACAATTTTTTTAATGAAAAAGAAAAGAGAAAGCCAAATATAACACTACAGAAAGTCAGCAATCACAAGGAAAGCTAGGAACAGAGAAAAGCTACAGAAACACCCAGAAAACAATCAACAGAATGACAGTAAGTATACAGCTATTAATAATTGCTTTAAGTGTAAATGGTCTAGGGGCGCCTGGGTGGCTCAGTCGGTTAAGTGGCCAAAGCAGCCGACTTCAGCTCAGGTCATGATCTCTCAGTCCATGAGTTCGAGCCCCGCGTCGGGTTCTGTGCTGACAGCTGAGAGCCTGGAGCCTGTTTCAGATTCTATGTCTCCCTCTCTCTGACCCTCCCCTGTTCATGCTCTGTCTCTCCCTGTCTCAAAAATAAATAAAACGTTAAAAAAAATTTTTTTTTAATGTAAATGGTCTAAATGTTCCACTCAAAAGACATAGGATGGTGGAATGGATTAAAAAATCAAGACTCTGGGGCGCCTGGGTGGCGCAGTCGGTTAAGCGTCCGACTTCAGCCAGGTCACGATCTCGCGGTCCGTGGGTTCGAGCCCCGCGTCAGGCTCTGGGTTGATGGCTCGGAGCCTGGAGCCTGTTTCCAATTCTGTGTCTCCCTCTCTCTCTGCCCCTCCCCCGTTCATGCTCTGTCTCTCTCTGTCCCAAAAATAAATAAACGTTGAAAAAAAAAATTAAAAAAAAAAAATCAAGACTCATCTATCTGTTGCCCAAGAGACTTGCTTTGGGCCTAAAGACACATACAGACTGAAAGTGAAGGGATGGAAAAACTTATTAGGCAAATGAAAGCAAAAAGAAAAGCGAGAGTAGCAGTTAAACTTTAAAACAGACTGTAACAAGAGTCAAAGAAGGGCATCACATAATAATAAAGGTACCTATCCTATCTATGCACCCAACATACGAATCTAGATACATAAGGCAAACATAAGCAGACAAAGGGAAAAGTTAATGGTAATGTAGTAATGGTAGGGAACTTTAACTCTCCACTTATATCAATGGATAGATCATAAAGGCAGAAAGTCAACAAGGACATTGTCTTTGAACAACACGTTAGACTAGATGCACACAATAGACACATACAGAACATTCCATCCAAAAGAGCAGAATACACATGCTTTCAAGTGCACATGGAGCATTCTCTAGAACAGATAGCATTAGGGGACAAAATAAGTCTAAATAAATTTAAGAAGACTGCATCTTTTCTGAACACAACAGTATGAAACTAGAAGTCAATCTAAAGAAAAAAAATATATACACGTGGAGGGTAAACAACATGCCACTACACAAAAAATGCATGGAGACAAAGGGAAACGGAAACACAATGGTTCAAAATCTTTGGGACACAGCAAAAGCTGTGCTAAGAAATTTATAGCAATAGAAGCCTACCTCAAACAACAAGAAATTTAACCTTACGCCCAAGGGAACTAGAAAAAGAACAAAACCGAAGATAAGTAGAAGGAAGGATATAATGAAGATAAAAGCAGAAGTAAATGAAACAGAGTTTAATAGAAACAAAGATCAAGGAAACCAAGAACTGGTATTTAGAAAAGATAAATGAAATTGATAAACCTTTACCCAGACTCATTGAGAAAAAATAAGACAGGACCCAAATAAAATCAGAAATGAAAGAGAAGTAACAACTGACACCACAGAAATACAAACGCTTGTAAGAGTATTATGAAAAATTATATGCCAACAATTGAAGAACCTAGAATAAATAGGTAAATTCCTAGAAACCTATAATTTTCCAAAACTGAATCAGGGAAAATGGAAGTCTGAGCAGACCAATTACTAGGAACAATACAGAAGTGATAATCCAAAAACTACCAATAAAGGTCCAAGATCACATGCATTCATAGGTAAATTCTACCCAACACTTAAAAAAGTTAATGCTAATCATAATATTACCATAAACTTAGTGGCTTAAAAAAACACAAATTTATTATCTTGCATTTCTATAGGTTAGAAGTCTGACATGGGTCTCCCTAGATTAAAATCAAGGTGTCAGCAGGGATGGATTTCTTTTGGAGGCTCTAGGGAAGAATCTGTTTCCTTGTCCTTTCCAGTTTCTAAAGACTGCCTTAAATTCCTTGGTTAATGCCCCGGTTTCCTCCATCTTCAAGGCCAATAAGTATCATTCTGACCTTTCCTGCTTCCTTCCACATTTAAGGACCCTTTGGATTATACCAGACTCCTCAAACAACCCAGAGTTATATCCCTACTTTAAGGTTGATTGTCAACCTTAATTCCATTTGCAATCGTAATCCCTTTTTGCCATGCAAGGTAGCTTACTGTTTACAGGAATTTGGATTTAGACATCTTTGGGGCACTGGTCTTCTCCCCACCATGTAAAATTTTTTCCATATGTACCCTAAACATTGCTTTATGAAGTTGTCAGAGATTCACTTTGAAATTCAGTATTTTGCAACTATTAAATAATCTTCCTGATTAGCAAAGCAGTTTCTTTTACAGTATCAGTTTCACTCTAAATCGCAAAATGTAGGGGCGTCTGGGTGGCTCAGTCGGTTAAGCGTCCAACTTTGGCTCAGGTCATGATTCACAGTTCGTGGGTTCGAGCCCCGCATCAGGCTCTGTGCTGACAGCTCAGAGCCTGGAACCTGCTTTGGACTCCATGTTTCCCTCTCTTCTCTGCTCCTCTCCTGCTCACACTCTGTCTTTCTCTCTCTCAAAAGCAAAATAAACATTAAAAAAAAAATTTTAATTCCAAAATGTACTTCTTGGGAGTCTACTGGATGTCTAATGAAATTTTCATTTTCCTATTTAACTAGATTATTGTACCCTCTATAGGAAAGAAATGGCATTTTTGTCCAGCTACTGCTTATCAGTTCAAAATTTTTGAGTAGTATAAAGATAACTAATACTAAGAAGCCATTGGGGAATTATATGGTCTCATTAAAACCACCCTAAATGGCCTTAAAATTTATTTCTTATGGAGAAGCTTAACTATGTTCTTATTTCATCAACCCATCAGCTGGTGAGATGATACATTACTAAGCTCAATTCTCAAAACCTATTATATACACCTTTTCAAAATTATAAAGCATGTTGCTGTATGCCAGTGCCAGAGAGAAAAGCTTAAGTTCATTGTCAATTTATATCAAAACTTTCAATGAAAGAGGGGATGAATGAAATAGGATTAAGAGGTATCATCTTCTAGTATATAAAGATAACTATATAAAGATAACAGCAGGATATAATGTACAGTAGAGGGAATATAGTCCATAATATTGTACCAACTCTGTAGGGAGACAGAGGGCAACTAGACTTCTTGTGGTAACCATTTTGTAACGTATGAGAATACTGAATCACTATGTTATAAACCTGAAATTAATACAACATTCTACTTCAATTATTCTTCAACTAAAAAAATCAGCATCTTAGTATACTTGTTTTACTTAAAAACTACAAAAAAAAAAAAGTTTTGGAGGATTATCAGGTAGAGAGAGAGAATATATTTTCTTGAATTAAGGCAGATCCTAAGAGTTCATGTACTGGCTCCCATCCTTCAAACACTTGCTTTTCAGGTTTATACTTGATACTCTACCAGTGTATTTACTTAGTGAACAAGTACTCAAAGTAATTTCTTAGACTTTCAAATTGTGCTTATGTTTAAATGCAAATAAATAAAAAAGTTAAATAAAAAAGGTATGTGGCTTACTTGGTTATGTTTTGACAACATGACTCCATCTCATAAAGCTTCTGTTGTCCCACATTTTCCATCACCGCCATTGAACTTATTCTGAATATATCTCTTTGCTGTAATACAAAATACAGTCGCTTTCATGTCATCTCAGCTGGTAGTGTGAGAAATCTTGAGATTGCATAGCTACTTAAAAATTTCAAAATATGCAAAAATAGTATGTATAAAATCAGGTAGGAATGCTTTATAGTCTAAATATATCACATCTACAAAGTTCAGAAATGTGAAATTTAATTTGTAACAGCTTCCCTCAAGTTATAAAAAGAAAAAATGACTATAGAAACTTAATCTACTTTATGAGTTAACAAATATATACATAAATAATACAGTTATTGAAGTTATAGATTAGAGACCACTAATTAAAAATTCAGAAGGCAAAGATGGGACACCAAATTATCTTAGCAAACATAGGAAACAATTCATAACACTCCAATACAAGTAAAATAGGCACTTAAGTAAAAAAAACTGCAAAAATGACTTCATTGTTCTAAAAATACTAGCTAATAATGAAGATTCAAAATACAGAATTATTAAACATCATCTATAGTGTGCTCTCTAGAAAATCTTTTTTAAAAGTTACTTCTGAAGAGGAGTTATACATACCTGCACATCCTTGGTAACAATTCAATAGATTTACTCACTGATGAATAACAAACCTCCCATGTTATATTAATTCCCGTATCAAATGCAACCATGGCCACGACTATCTAATCTGTTTTTAGACTTTATGTTAATTAAATTAAGTTAAAATATTTTTAATGTTTTTTTTTTTTTTTTTAATTTATTTTTGAGACAGAGAGAGACAGAGCATAAGCAGGGGAGGGGCAGAGAGAGAGGGAGACACAGAATCTGAAGCAGGCTCCAGTCTCCGAGCTGTCAGCACAGAGCCCGACACGGGGCTCATACCCACAAACCGTCATGACCTGAGCTGAAGTTGGACGCTTAATCGATTGAGCCACCCAGGCGCCCCATCATTCTATAATTTTAGAACCAACTGAATTGTAACCAAGGCTCTACTTCAGTAAAGGGTTTAAATTAAAAAAAAAAAAAAAAAAAAAAAAAAGCCACAGAAGCATACCTTAGAAACATTTAACATGGTAGCTGAAATTCCTAATGTTTTAAAACCATTAACTGGTCTTCCCTAAGAGAGATCAATGGGCAAATCACAATGGTAAAACCTAAAAGAAAAAGTAACTACCTTAAAATTTACACTTTCTCCAGAATAAGTTTCTACCACTCACCTGAGGGCATCACGCATTAATAAACTTCCTATTTTTTAGCCTCATTAATAGAGGCAATAAACAAATGATCATTAACCAAATAAGCAAATAGAAGATTACAGGGAAATCTCCTCCTTTATTCAATACTATAAAAATAGGGGCGCCTGGGTGGCTCAGTCGGTTAAGCATCTGACTTCAGCTCAGGTCATGATCTCGCAGTTCGTGGGTTCAAGCCCTGCGTCGGGCTCTGTGCTGACAGCTCAGAGCCTGGAGCCTGTTTCAGATTCTATGTATCCCTCTCTCTCTCTGCCCCTCCCCTGTCCATGCTCTGTCTCTGTCTCAAGAATAAACTAACATTAAAAAATAATAATAAAAATAGGTATCATTTTGAATTTTTACGTTATCATTTTTTAACAATCAGTATTGGTAATCTCAGCAAAATAACATAAATCTAGTCAAATACTGCCCAGTTATATCAGGAAAAAAATTAATACAAAGCTTTCCAAAGAAAAGATAGCAACCTGTATAGTTAAGAATGGTAGTTACATAAGCGTTCTTCCACACTCACTGTACCAGATTAATTTATGCTGAGTAGAAACTGATGAATAGTTTATTGACTGAAGTTTTTTTTTTTTTTTTAATATTTATTTTATTTGAGAGAGAGAGAGATGGCATGAGCAGAGTAGGGGCAGAGAGACAGAGAATTCCAAGCAGGCTCTACACTGGGAGCACTCAATGAGATCATGACCTGAGCAGAAATCAAGAGTTGGATGCTCAACTGACTAGGCCACCCAGGCACCCCTTGGCTGAAGTTCTGAAAGTATATCCCTTTCTCTTATTACTGAAACTGTCTGCAGCTATATAGCTATTCTACATTATTAAAATTGCTGACCTCTGTAGTTTGTTCCTTAAAATAACCTGAGACAGAGAGCAGATAAATTAAAAACTATACTCAGATTCGGACTTTATCAGGGATTTTACCATCTCAAATAGTCTCTCTGCTGTATTTTCACATTCTCCCTCATCAATGGTAACTTGTCATCACATTTAAACATGGGCACGCCTCTCTCATCTTTGAAAAACCCTGAATACCTAATTTAGGGCACCCTCTCTTTTTCCCTTCACAGCAGTTCTTTCCAAAGAATATCCCATTCCTTAGCCCCCCATCCTCAATTTCTCTCCCCTCTCTCTCCATTCCCACGTAAATTCTTTCTCCAAATGTACCCTACTTCAGTGAACAACTTCACCATTTGTCCCAGCCTAGAATTTGGGCGTCATTCTAGACTATCCCTTCTCCTACCCCCATCCAATGAATACCAAGTCCTTCTGAATCTACCTCCTAATTATTTCTATAATTCCTCCGTCTTCTAAACCACAATTCTGGCAAGTCTCTTACCGGTATAAAACCCTTCCATGGTTTCCCACTAATCTAAGGAAGATTTTATAGTATCTTTCAAGACTCTTTCCACGTGCCTTGCCCCTCACTGCCTGCCACACTGAAATTCTTCCAGATTACTGATATTCCCTACACACATGTTCTTACTTTTGGGCTCTCAGAAATACTGCTCCGCTGAATGAACACTCTTCCTTACTCTGCTATCCTTTCTTTGCCTACTTATCCTTCAGCTTTTAGCTCAAATGCCACTTCCTCAGACAGCCTTCTCTGGACAGCCCCTAGACCAGATCTTTGCACTGACTTAATTCCCTATTAACACCTTTATCACAAAACCTTTACTGCAATTGCTTGCAATTACCTATACTCACTAGACTGGGGTCAATAAACTAAGAACTGGCTGCTTGTTTGGGTAAATAAAGTTTTAATTTTCATCTAATATTTTTCTACATGGTTTATGTAGGTTGAGTAGATTAATGATTAAGATTTAAAGAATCCCTACACTTTTCTCTGTTAATTTTCAATGTCTACAAGAACTGTTTTTCATTAACTTTTTTTAAAGTTTATTTATTCATATTGTAAAACAGAGATCAATAGGACTTTAATAGCTAGAGAGGAAAAATCAATGCCTGGCTTCAAAGCTTCAAAGAATAGGCTGATTTTCTGTTAGGAGCTAACAGAGCCAATGCTCATTTACCATTCCAAAACTCATAGGGGCAAGAATTATGCTAAATATACTCTATGTTCAGTAAGCCTGAATGGCAGCACATTTGTTTATAACATGTTTACTAAGTACTTTAAGCCCACTGTTGAGACATAGTGCTCAGGGGGAATAAAACAAAGAAAGATTTTTTCCATTGATAGTGCATCTGGTCACCCAAGAGCTCTGATGGAGCTCCATCTCTGATGGAGATGTCCAAGAGATTCATCTTGTTTTCACGCCTGATAACACAACATCCATCTGCAACCCATGGGTCAATACGTCATTTTTGACTTTCAAGTCTTATTATTTACAAAATACATTTCATAAGGCTATAGCTGCCACAGATAGGGATTGCTCTGATGGATCTGGCAAAGTCAATTGAAAACCTTCTGGAAAGGATCTGCCATGCTAGATGCTATTCAGAAAATTCATTATTCATGGGAAGAAGTCAAAATATCAATATTAATAGGAATTCAGAAGAAGTTGATTCCAACCCTCATGGATGACTTTGAGGGTTCAAGATTTCATTGGACAAAGTCACTGCAGATACAGTAGAAACAGCCAAAGAACTAGAATTAGAAGTAGAGCCTGAAGACGGGAGTGAACTGCTGCACTCTCATGATAAAAATAACAGGAGTCATCTTAGGGGTGAGCGAATAAAGTGGTTCTTGAAGATGCTGTAAAAATTGTTGAAAGAACAACAAAGGATTTAGAGTATTACATAAACTTACTAGTTAATAAAGGAGTAGCAGCAGGTTTTGAGAGGACTGGCTCCAATTTTGAAAGAAATTCTACTATAGGTAAAATGCTACCACATGTACAGAGAAATCATACATGAAAAAAAGGAAAAGCCTACCAATGTGGCACACTTGATTGCTGTCTTGTTTTAAGAAATTGCCACAGCCATCCCAACTTTCAGCAACCACCACCCTGATCAGTCAGCAGCCATGAACATCGAGGGAAGATGCCTGACCAGCAAAAATACTACACTCACTGAAAGCTCACTGAAAGCTCATTTTTCAGCAATAAAGTATTTTTTTAAGTTTATTTACTTATTTTGAGAGATAAAGAGGGGGAGAGAGAGTGAGTTGGGGAGGAGCAGGGAGAGAGAAATCCCAAGCAGGCCCCTACGCTGACAGTAGAGCCTGAAGCAGGCCTCAAACCCATGAACCGTGAGATCATGACCTGAGCTAAAACCAAGAATTGGATGTTCAACTGACAGAACCACCCAGGCACTCCAGCAATAAAGTATTCTTAATTAAGATATGAACATTGTTGTTCGAGACATTCTATTGCAAACTTAATAGATCACAGTATAAATATAATTTTTATATGCACTGGGAAACCAAACAATTCATTTGCCTTGCTTTATGATATTGGCTTTATTGTAGTGGTTAGAAACAAACCTATAAGATCTCTGAGGTATGCCTGTATCACCAGAAAAGTAGGGAATATATGTGGGAGTAGATTCTAAGGATACTAAATCAGAGTGAACAGAACAAAATAGGTAAAAAGCTAAATTTACTGATACAAAAATTCTGGCTTAGTGCATTAAATACAGTGGCCAAGAGTGGCTCTAATAATTTACTTAGCTGTTTGCCAGAAACCTGGCTCCAATGATGAATGTCAGAAAGTTGGGCTGGAATGACACAGGTGTAGATTCCAATCACACTGAAGTGCTAGAACTTCCTAGGTATAGTCTAAAAAGGGAGTCCAGAGGCTTAGGGAGATGGGA